GCGAGTCCTCGCCCTCGTCGTCGATCTCCTTCTTGGTGCGACGCGTGCGGATGGTGCGGATGATCTTGTCGAGCGTCTCCTGCCACTGGCCCTGCCAGGCGTCGGGGAGGTAGCGCGACTTGATCTGCTCAAACTGCTGCTTGAGCGTGTCGCTGGGCCACTGCCACGTCTCGAACGACAGGTCGGCCCAGCGCACCGAGTCCTGCGTCAACGTGTCTTGGAAGTTGAGGCGCTGCAGCAGGATCAGATCGTCCTCGCCGGGGATCCAGACGCTGTTGTCGAGCTCGGCGCGCGTCGGGTGGCGGTTGTTGCCGCGCACGGCGTGCTGCGACGCCTCGGCCTCGTCGCCTTCGCCGGTGGTGCCGTAGTCGCGGCGCGGGCTGGTGCCGGAGCGGTCGACGCGCGAGCGGATGTTGGAAAAGAGGTTCGAGTAGACCTTGTAGGAGCGCTTGTTGCCCATCATGGTGGCGATGGCCTTCCACGAGATGACCTCGCCCGGATGCTCCGTCTTATACTGCTCGAGCGCCGCGAGCACCGCCTTGTCCTCCTCGCCCGTCCAGGTGGGGCCCTCGGCCATCTCGTCCTTGACCTGGAGCTTGACGAAGCGCGAGAGGACGTCCTGGTTGAGGCGGCCGAGGCGCTTTGCGACGCTGGCGGCGTCCTCGCGCAGCTCGCCCATGCGGCGACGGATCTCGTAGTCTTCGGCGAGCGTGTAGCGGCCCTGCCTGCGGAACTGCGACTTGTTGGTGCGGACGTGGAGGCGGACGGCGATGTTGGGCCTGCCGTCGAGGCGACCGGCGAGGTCCTTCCAGAGCTCGGTGTACCACTTTTCCCAGCCGCGGTCGCGGTAGTTGTAGAGGAGCTCCTGAAAGTCGTCCTCGGAGAGGTTCTTTTGCTTCATGAACTCGGCGATGCCGTTCTTGATGGTGTCCTGCTCCTCCTTTGTGAATCGGCCCTTCTTGTACTTGAGGCCGATGGTCCTCTCGAGCTTGGCGAGCATGTCGGACGAGTAGACGCGCTCGACGAGGAGCTCGCGCGGAGGCAGACCTCGGAGCTCCTCCAGCGCGGCCTCCTCCGACATCTTGGGGCGGCGACCGCGACGCTCTCCGTTTTCGCCCGCCTCGCGCTTGGTCTTTTTGGCAGCCGAGGGGGTGGAGCCGTCCTTCTTGGGGCGGCCGCGCTTGCGCTTGCCCGGCTGGTCGGCCGTGGGCGCGGCGGGCGCAGTAGTAGAGGCGGCACCGTCGGCAGGAGCAGGAGCAGCGGCGGCGGCGGCGGCCGGGGCGGCGGGTGCTTGGGCTGGGGCAGCGTCGGCGACGGCAAGAGCCTCGACAACCTGAGCCGAGGTGTCGGCGGAGCCATCGAGAGAAGGGTCGATGGGGAGGCGATTGGCGGAGGCGACGGCGGAGACGGCCTGAGCGGCAGAGGCGGCGGCTACGGTAGCAGCGTCCTTCTCTGCCTGCTCGCGTTCGCGACGTTCGCGTTCCTTGCGCTCCTTCTTCTCGCGCTTGCGATCCTTGCGCGCGGCGTCGGCTTCAGGGCCGGAGCCATCGAGCTCCTCGGCGACGGCGTCAGCATCTGCATCGTCAGCGGCGGCGGCGGCGGCATCGTTGGCCTTCGTAGGCTTGTCAACGGTGGATGTCGCGGAGGCCGTGTCGGCTGCGGCCGCACCAACGGGGTTGGGTGAGAGAGCCATGGTGTTGTGGACGATGTCGAGTGTAGGAAGGGGTGGGTGAGACTATCTGCAACGCGAGAAGCGAAGCGCTACGTGACGCGAAGGGGTGTTAGTGGAGAAATGGCGTCGGGGTCGAGTGTTGGATGGAGGGAGCGAGCAGGACCGACGTTGGCGTTGTGAGGTCGAGGGAAGAAGGGGGGGAAAAAAAGGCGGAAAAGGGGGGCGATCTTTAAATTGATTTCAGGTCGGGGGGTTGGGCGCGCGAGGCCTTTGTGAGATTGGGCGAGTCTAGCAGCAAGGCCGCCCGGAGTTTTCGAGGAGAGTGGCTCTGCTGTGGAAAACTGTGGGAAACTGTGGGAAATGTGGGCGGAGTGAGCGAAGTGAAAAGTTTGCAATTGCGCGCCGAAATTGATGCAGATGTAACAGCAGGGTCGAGGCACGAGAGCAGTGTGATAGGCTGCGCATTTGTGGGGTGGCTTGGCGCGGCGCGTTGTCAGCTGGCCATCGATCGAACACGGCTCCTTTGCGTGCAGCTGCTGGCACGGACCGCGTTTCGGTTGTTAGGCTGAGTCGCGATGCCACCACCACCTTGAGCTGAGTCACAGTCACAGGTCACAGTCACAATTTCAGGCGTCTCGCCGCGCCCCACCGCGATGTAACCGTGACAATTTCAGGGGCGTGTTAGCACGCAGCAACTGCCGCCGCCGAATGTGCGTCCAAGCGTGGGTTGAAGATGCGGCTTGGGCCCAGCGGCAGGCGCTTCTCGGAAATGAGACGAGCTGACTTTGGCTAGCTGCATGCAGACGGGCAGACGGGCACACCGAAAGCGAGGTGGCTGGCTGGCTGGGCGGCTTCCCGTTCCTCATCGGCCGCTCCTCATCGGTTGCGGATGTAGGATGCAGGATGCAGGATGCAGCCTTGCCGTTACCTGTCAATCGACGGGCAAGCAGACCGACAGGGGGCGGTGGAAAGCGATCAGAGACCGACGTCGGGTGCCTCTCTCTCTCTCTCTCTCTCTCT